TAAGTTTCAAGGAGGGGCTGCAGCTCGCGCCTCTCACTGGGATGATGTATGAACTCACTCTAATTTGCTTCTGAATCAATAAACTAATTATTATTCATCAAAAAACAGGAAAATGGGAAAGAATGCTAGTGGTTGATGCTGGAGGGTTGGTGAGTGGTGACAGATTGGTGGAAAGTTGCAGAACTATTGAAGTTCAAACTAGAGCTAAGGAGCACCTTTATTTTAATTCCGTTCAATCTTGCTAAGGCAGTTCTAGACCCTCTTGAAAACCAGGTAAATGTTAAAGCTTTATGTAAAGATGCTCTAGGGACTTTCTCAGTCTTTAAATGGTCTTCATCTTCAAATTCAAAAGTATTCTCAGTGGAAGATAATATTAGTGTTCGAGTGATTGGGTTGCCATTCCATCTCTGGAATCAAGAGATAGCAAACTCAATTGCTTTGCTGTGTGGAGCAGCTAGAGCTCGCCTTGATGGTGTATTTTGGGGAGACCTGCAAAGTGCAGCCATTCTACTGGGTAGAGTAAAACCAGAAGATATACCGAGGAAGGTGACCGTAGCTGTGGATGGATTGTTTTTACCAGTTTGATTACTGTCCTCCATTGAAGCTACCCTTTGGAGAGAGGCCAGGAAAGAGGAAGATGAAAAGGTGGAGGAAATGGAGTTACGTGGCAGATTGGAGTTGGTTAAAAAGAAGAAACAGGGAAATTTCACCAAAATGGAAACACAACCTTTTTGCAGCCCAAAAGATTTGGTCGGGAGATTAATAGGAGACGTGTGATACAAGGCAAGGGTAATGACAACTAGCAGGACCTTTGCTCAGGTAGTTGCTTGTGGACCAAGCAAAATATTTTGAATGGCTTGAGTGAGGGGAAGGGCCCGGTGACAATACAGATTGAACCACAAATTGGGGGAGGTAAACCATCAGGTCAGGCTGGGGTCTTGTTAGAAGCAAGAAACTTTATGGCGGCTGACCCAGCAGGTCCAAATTCAAATTCAGCTTCTAATCCTGGGCCCAGTAGGCCCAAATCTAAGTCAAGTGGGCCAAAATCAATTGACCCAGGAATTAAGTTGGCGTGTGAGGACTTAAAGGAGCACATGACAGGGGGAGAACCTCAGGTAGACAGCAAACAAGGTCTACCATCATCTTCCTCGAGCTCATCCTTTCGCTCAAACAGTTCTGCAAAGGTGTCCAGCTCCTTATAATGGATCCCATTGAAGAAGCTGGTTCGATCAGCATAGGATCGCCATAATCCGAGGTGTGTGAAGTGCAGTGAGTTACATGACTTAGTTTTGGACAGGCTGACAGATGGCGAAGAGTTTTCTGAGTCGGATTCAAAATCTGGAGAAACCATCAGTCTGGGAAGTATTGACCTCCAAAAACCAAAAAATATCTTGCAGGAGGGAAGCATAAACACTGAACATTTATTTCCAGAGGAGGAAATGGATCCGCAAGATTTTGGCAATGACAAACAACAGAGAAATCTGAGTCTCAACAGCGGCGAACAAACATCTTCCAATCCAGGATTTCCGTACAAAAAAACAGATGGTGTTGGAAACACTTGAAGAGGTCCAACAGATTACATTTCCGCCAATAAACAAGTCTACTCCATTTGCACAGCCTATTCAAGACATCGGGCCAGAGAGACAAGAACAAGATCTCACGCCTTACCTAAGGATTCACGTAGAGGGAAAGACTAGTGAGGCATCTTTGACTATAGGGGGTGAAAAAGTCTTGGTTGAACCTAGTTCACCTCCACAGCTGAGTCAAGAACAAGGAATGGGACTGGTCTTGCCTTCAAGAGTTGATACCCAACATCTGGTCCCATTGCAATCACCTCTGCTACCTTCAGGTAAGCCTGTCCATTTGTTTTTAGATACTAATCTGGGTTTTGTGCCTGTAACAGATATCCTGGAATCTCAACCAGACCAGACCAACCAAGTGGCAGCAAGGGAGTGATGAATGTTAGTGTTGGAAGTCGAACTGAAAAGGGGGATTGTTTAGTAGAAAGAAAACAGGAGGAACTGGAATAAATTTGGGAGCAGATTTGTACACTATTGGACGAATATAAACAGAAAGAGGAAATGATAGAGACCCCAAAAAAACCTAAATCAGATACAAGTCCAACAGATTGGGGAAGGAAACAAGAAATAAAGGGCTGTCTAGGAAGTTAATGGGTAATAAAGATAGGAAAAAGAAGAAGAAATCTGAAGTAGAGAGACTAATTTTGGACATTGAAGGAAATATCAAATTCATTGGAAGAGGGGAAAGGAAAAAGGCTTCTGTAGAGATGGCCCATAGGCTGTTATTCTATGTTATATTTATATTCTTGTCTGTAATGGGCCTTATTCTGGGGCCATCCTCTTCTATACTGTGTTTTTGTAGTTTCTTGCCCAACCAAGGGCCTCTCTTGTAATTTCTGTAGAGTTCAGTTTTGAACCTCTCATCCTCTAACTCTCCTTGCCGCCAGCTCTCTCTCTTCATCTTCACCAACCTTCTCATCTGTTTGCCTTTTCTGGTTTTCATCTAATCTTACACAGTCCCATACTTCGAAGGGCTGTTTTTCAACTGCTTCTAAATGAGGGGAAGATAGTGTTTGGAGGGCTTAAATCATGAAGGCTAATGAAGATAATCAGTTGGAATGTGAGGGGTTTGGGCAATGCTAGAAAAATGAGACTGAAACTGAATAAGGAGTTGCTTAGGAGAGAAAGACCTGATATTGTAATGCTACAGGAGACCAAAAATAGCTGAACTGGATAGGAGGTGGGTCAGAGAGATTTGGAAAGTAAGAGGGGTGAGATGGTGTTCAGCTCCCTCATGGGGAGCTTCGGGGGGAATAATAACTTTGTGGAGAGAGAATTTCGTAGAACCAATAGAGGAGCTGATAGGAAACTTCACTGTATCCCTAAAATTAAGGATGGTGGAAGATGGTTTTATATGGGTGCTAACAAATGTGTATGGGCCAAATAATTACAAAGAGGAATGATTTATAGCAGGAGCTTCATGGCATTCAAGGTTTATGGGAAGGCCTGTTATGGACGCATTCCTCGGAAAGACGTACCACCGCCGCCGGCAGCAACAGGAACCTGACCCACCACCAGATTAGAATCATCTTGCTTGTTCTTATCTTATTCTATCCCTCTTATCTTATCTTGTTAGTAAGTTATCAGATTAGCATTAGTTTATCTTATTATCAGATTAGGATTAGTTTATCTTGTTATCAGATTAGGATTAGTTTATCTTGTTAT